CAATTCTGATTTTTTTCCTTGCAATTGTGTGATATAAAGTCAGAATTACGAGTTTCTCTCAATTCGACCTTTTTTACGTGTTTTTTTTTTTTTAAGGAACTGACTTTTTTCTCAGAAATGCGAGTTTATATCTCACAATTCTGACTTTATAACAATTGTGAGTTTATATCTCGCAATTCTGAGAAAGAAAATGTAATAAATGTGAGATAAAAAGTTGCAATTACTTTTTTGTTTTATTCTGTGGTGGAAACTATCTTCTATAAGTAAAACTAACATTAACTAAGATTAAGAAATGCTTTAGAAATATTTTCCATTTGTTATATTATGTTACCTAATGGAACCTCATTGGAAAGTGCTACCTGACAGTTTTGACGTTTCCATCATCATTTACTCTTTCTTTCTTCCATGGAGGAGATATTTTGCAGAATGTCTGCTCCTCTTTTCCAAACAGTAGAAATGTGGACACGGGTTTTCAAGCTCCCACAATGATAATATTTTGTATTGAAAAAGTCCTCTTAAGCTATACATGTTAAATTTGTGGGATGAACAGAATGAAATTTAATTAATCATTTCCTGAAAATCTCTTAAAATCCTGAAATTCTTTTTTTTTACATTCTTCCAAATGTCTTTGTTTTCAATGTAAAAAAAAAGAAAGCCATACAGGTTTGGAATTTTTATTTTAAACTATTACTGTAAACTATTCCTTCCAGCCAGCCAATCAATGTCTCTATTTCACTTTTCTAGGCACAATACGTTTCCTACAGAGAGAAAAATGAAAACATTTGGTGATATGTCTGTTCGCAGTCACTGTGGAACAGTTATCCACCAAAAAAGCACAGCTGCTGGATCTGGCAGTTAAACATCACTTTAACAGGATCGCCACTCACGGCCTTGGAAGGTTTTACTGTCAGATATAACAAAGTGTGAGGTGAAAAGAAGTCCTGATGAACTCGCTGAAGCTTTAGGAAAGCATCCATCCCTTCCACTCAGCCTTGTTCATATAAGCTCTCTCCCAAGACGACTCTCATGCCATTTGATTGAAACAGAGACTAAAGAAAGATTTATCAGGGCTAGTTTTATGTCATGTTCCTCTCAACATTTTCAAAGATGTTTTCCTTCAAGGCATTTCCCTTAGTTTCTTTGCGATTAGAGTCTGTATTTGATTCGAGGGTCATGAGGGATGCCTTTTAATTGGATCTCATTTCTAGCAGATCTGCTGTTTATTTGAAGAAGACGGGGGCACAATTGTAGCGACTGAGATCACCACTGGGAAGGGAGGGGTTAAGACCTCTGATCATGGCCGTGCTCAATCATGCTTCCCCTTACTCGCTGCACAAATACCCATGGGCACACTTTCCTACATTGTGCTAAAGTTGTGGCTGTGGCCTGCAAGGCCTCAGCAAAGATCTTTCCCACACTCTCAACAGGCCGTCATGTGTGCGTTGAGCTCAGATCGAGGGAGGAGGGAGACCTCAAGCGTTATTGGCCAATGATCTGCAGCATATACTATTGTGCAGAGCAGGGACCAATCAGAGAGCTCAGATAAGGGTCAGTCGACAGCCCTGCGCTTTAGCTCTGCTCTACTGCTGATTCTTACCACACCGCATAGGGAGGAATTTATCAATAACATTTATATAATGGTACTTTCAAAGTTTTGTTTGAAAACATTGCATTACGATTATTATAGAAAAGCAATTTAGTTTTGTTAGTTTTCATTCTGACTGTTTTTAAAAGTTTATTTTTTTATTTATATTATTTTTGGCCAGCCTAGATTAATGCATTAGCTAATGTCATTTAAAGGGATGGTTCACCCAAAAATGAAAATTGTGTCAGTATTTACTCACCCCCATGTTGTTCCAACCCCGTAAGACCTTCGTTCATCTTCGGAACACAAATTAAGATATTTTTGATGAAATCTGAGAGCTGGATCACTCCTGCATACTAGTCCATAGGCTTCTTGAGGGATTGAAACTTGCCGGCTTCGAAAAGTTATTAAAGACATTGTTAAAATAGCCTAAGTGACTACAGTGGCTCAATCTTAAGTTTATCAAGCGGCGAGAACACTTTTTGTGCGCAAAAAACAACAAAAATAACGACTTTATTTCAACTATTAATTTACTTCTCTCTCTGCCTCGAGTCAGGTTACTAGTTTAACAACGTAAGCTTCTGTTATTGTATGTCACACGCATCACACACATCACCAGCGTCATCCAATAGTGAGCCTACGTGTGACGTAGCTTTACGCAATCACACTACGTTAACTGACTACAGGCCCATGGAGAAGGAAGTGAATAGTTGAAATAAAGTCGTTATTTTTGTTTGTTTTTGCACACAAAAAGTGTTCTCGTTGCTTGATAAAGTTAAGATTGAGCCCCTGAAGTCACTTGGGCTATTTTAACGATGTCTTTAATAACTTTTCGAGGCCGGCAAGTTACAATCCCAAAAGAAGCCTATGGACTAGTATGGAGGAGTGATCCAGCTCTCAGTTTTATTAAAAAATATCTTAATTAATGTTTCAAAGATGAACGAAGGTCTTACGGGGTTGGAACAACATGAGGGTGAGTAAATACTGACAGAATTTTCATTTTTGGGTGAACTAACCCTTTAACCGTGTTTAGCACTGTTTTTTTCACTGTTTAGTGCAGTCTTGTTTTATTGATAACAAAGTTAATTTTCAGATAGGTTGTAAAGGTTTAAAATAGTGTGTATCTAAAATTAAATGGATTCTCTGTCAGTTTAATTTTAGTTTATGAGTCACGACTATATTTCAGTTCCCTTATTTCAATTATGTTATTTCTATTATTTCAGATAACAAAAAACATTTTATTTTAGTTTTCCTTTCGGACTGCTTTTGGGCTTTTATTTTCTTTTTATTTTTTAAGTCGCGAAAACAAAAAAAATTGCTTAACAATTTATTAGTAATATTTAAAATATATAAATCAAAAATGTTTTAGACATTGCCCATCTACAATATAATATTTAGACAAAATTATTTGTATATACTTTTTTAGTGCAGTAGGGGAATTTTGATTGTGTGTGCGTATTCTAAGGAAAGATAATAGACTGATAAATGCCACAGGCGCTGCTATCAGATGTCTACATGATTTCCTTCCTGCCTGATGATAGTGTGCCATCTATTTTTGTGTGTAAGTGTGTGTAGGTATATCATACGTCCCGACAAAGATGGCTGATCTGAAATCCTTGTCCTTGTGGGGACATATTTTGGTCCCCACGAGGAAAACAGCTTATAAATCATATTAAATTATGTTTGTTGTTGTTGTTGTTGTTGTTTTTAATGCAGAAAGTTTTCTGTGATGGGTAGGTTTAGTCTTGGGGGATAGAATATACAGTTGGTACTGTATAAAAATCATTATGTCTATGGAAATCCCCATAAAACATGGAAACCCAACGTGTGTGTGTATGTGTGTGTGTGTGTGTGTGTGTGTGTGCGTGCAGGGTTTGGGTGTTGGGCTTCAGTCTGTTATAGAGAGCCAGTGCTGTTCTACTAATCCCCTGTTTTCACACACAGCTGTTTCCTGTTGGGAACATGGGCCAGGCTAGGGGCTTTTGTGAGATGCGCACAAACTAGAGGACACAATTTGCTTTTCCAGACAATGTTCACTGAAACGCCAAGGCCGCAGTGTCTGCCATCCAAAAGCCTGCGTGAAAACAACTTTGTCAGGAAATAATGCTCAACTCAGCAATTTAGTTAATCCCTCTATTTATTCATTCTAGGGAGTCCATTCCATTAAAAGTCTCAGATATTGGGCAATAAAAGCAGTTATCAGTAGATTGTGGCTTATGAAGGCAGCATATAATTGATTCTTGGAAGAAGAGAGCAGTGTGAACATCCCGTACTGACTCTGATCACCCTGAGCTTCAGACATCTCATCAGTCAGCTTTATTTATGGATTGGGCTCTGACCTCTCCTGTAGTATAGGAATGAAAGTCTGAGCTGAGTTCAAGATAAAAAGCCTCCAGTCATTCTTGTGCCAGTTCATTTGTAACATTTGGAAATAATAGGATCCATTTATTACAGCCAACGTTCTGTAATGTAAACCACACTGAATGTAATGCAGTCATGACTGTAAAATGTGTTAATGTGCACTTAACTAAATGTTGGTTCGAGGGAGCAATGCTCAAGAATTATTCATCTCCCTACAGCACTTAATGAAGTAACAGGAGCTTATAGGCATTATGTGTAAAAGCTGCGTTTTAGAGTTTACTGAAATGGTAGTGTGGTATGAGTGTCCCGAATAGTTCTCAGACAAAGATAGGAACATCCTGTTACTTTTAGACTTTCCATTCCTGAATTAGAACTGCTTTTGGGGTCATGTTGCCCTATTTGTTTTAATAAAATTGTAGTTTTACAAGAATAAGAGAATACAAACTCAAAATGTTTTTTTATTGTCCTGCTTGTGTAAAAGTAGAAAATCTTCTTCTGTGGGGTCTGTATGGTTTTTTAAACATTTTTGAAAAAGTCTCTTATGCTGTTGGATGTAACACAGTTCATGTTCAGGTTAAGGAGGCAAACGATAAATGTGAACTTTAATCACAATATAAGCAAAAACAAAACGAAAGTAAGCGGGAGCCACCTCACGGCCGACTGTCACTCATAAAGATAATAAAGCATTACCGTAAATGTCCCAAGACTGGTCCTCTCTCGTCTTCTACTGTCGTCACATCTTATTTTGTCTTTCTGGAGCGCTTCCAGTAAAAAAAGTCTTTACTGTCACTTTTCACATTATAATGCATCATTGCTGAATAAAAGTATTCATTTCTTGCAAAAAAAAAAAAAAAAGTATCACTCATTTTTTTAATGGTACCTCGAGGTATGAATGCTTTAATTAATTATAGTGACTTTGTTAGTTGATGGATGCCGGGCTGATGTAATTTATGTAATTATTATATTTAGTTTTTTAGTTTGTATAAATGGGAATAAGCTGGAATGCTCTTGTTCTGAGTGAAACACTTATCTTTTTGTGGTCTTTTTTTTACAGAGTGAATCAGTGAAATATTTCCTGGACAACTTGGATCGGATTGGCCAACTGGTGAGTCATGATAACACAGCATTATTTAATAGTGCCAGTTCTTCATAAACAAAGATAGTCACCTGGAAAGATAGTCAGTCAGAACGGTGTTTTTATGCAATGTTTCCCAGCAGAGATGGGGGCATTGAAGACCGGAGAGACTGAAAATGAAAGTAAAGTGGTCTCTTTGAGATTGATATTGGCCAAGGTTGCCAAGAACACATAGTGTGTCTCACATGAGTGATAAAAAAGGCCTGGAAGGGTTTTGTGTGAGCATGGAAACCAAGGACAAATACAAAACAGATACATGTTATAGTTTGGGTGGGACGTGGGCCTTTTGCAAACTGCTTCAAAGATCATTTTGTCTGGCCTTGTGGCAATTATCATGAAGGATTGTGTATTTGTGAGAAAAGATTGCTTGGAAACCACTCTTATTTTTGCTTTTATTTACTTTTATTTTACCACATAGATTTCACAAAAATCAGAATGGTTAAGTTTGCAAAAGGTAGAGTTTTTCTGTTTTAAGTTGCATAAGTCAGTAAAGAAGATCCTGGTAGAATGTGAAACTGTGATAGACCTGCGCCAATAACTATACTTGTTAATGCAAATATTTTAGATCAGTCTAGCTAAAGCAAATTGTAAAAAAAAAGTCTGACTTTATTTACTCAACCTGTTCTTACAGAGTTATCTACCAAGCCGTCAGGACATCCTATTGGCCAGGAAGGCCACCAAGGGAATTGTGGAGCATGATTTTATCATTAAGAAGATCCCTTTTAAGATGGTAGACGTGGGTGGCCAGCGCTCTCAGAGACAGAAATGGTTTCAGTGCTTTGATGGCATCACCTCCATCCTCTTCATGGTGTCCTCCAGCGAGTATGACCAGGTGCTGATGGAAGACCGGCGCACTAACCGCCTGGTGGAGTCCATGAACATCTTTGAGACCATAGTCAACAACAAGCTCTTTTCCAATGTGTCCATAATCCTCTTCCTCAACAAGATGGACCTTCTGGTGGAGAAGGTACGCAAAGTCAGCATTTGCAAGCACTTTTCCGACTTCCGGGGAGACCCTCACCGACTGGAGGACGTGCAGGCTTATCTAGTGCAGTGCTTCAACCGCAAACGTCGCAACCGCAGCAAGCCACTTTTCCACCACTTCACCACTGCCATTGACACTGAGAACATTCGCTTTGTCTTTCATGCTGTCAAAGATACAATTCTTCAGGAGAACCTTAAGGACATAATGTTGCAGTGACATTCACAGTACTTTCATCTGTTTTTGCCATTATTTGAGTCCTATCGCAGGAGGATGTGCCATCTGGACTGAAAAAAATCTGGTGCAAAATGTACTTTGCATCATGTGTAGCTTATCAAGTACTCCATTATATGAGAGACATGACATTCATACAACAAATTGAATGAATCTCTCTGTCATCACTCATTTTAATTTCGTCCTGTGAAACAGGAAGTTTGAAGACACCTTGGATGGTGGAAAAGCCAAGAACATTTGAGGGGAGTACAGTTTGTTAATGCAAAGAAAAAATGAAGCATGGTAGTCAATCATTTTAGAGTATTTCCACCTCTTTTCTTAAGGTTTAACTCAAACAATGCACAATAACTTTATTTCGGCTCATCTCCCAAATAACATCCTAAAAATAAATGGCAAACCTGCACTGAACATCCTACTTGGTACAAGTAGTTCATTTCGTGTCATTTGACAGGACTATTTTTGATATAATCTAACATTTAAATCACATTTTGCTTTATCTATACTTGTGAGTTTATAGATTACATGCAAAATTCTCATTAACAACTAAGCAGGGTTTTTGTACATAGAGTGAATAGCGGCTTTTGTACATCTTAACTGTCTGCTTTTATTTGTCTCTTCACGGTAAGCTACAAGCTTTGAAATTTAGAGTAGGGTCAAATCACTGGTTATGCCTAACACCACTAACTTAAGATGAATAATGCATTAATGGTATTCTTTAAATGTCATTATTGCACAGCATATGTACTTTAGGAGTATTCATATGATGTAAAGTCTCTCGAAAACCTGTGTAGTTGTTCATGATTCTACAAAGAGAATTACAGAGGGAGTCAACCTGATGCTGTTCAGTTATACCATCAGCAGATGTAAAGATCTTAGTTCTTCCTTGAATTCAGCCAGAGACTGAGCTTTATTCTCCAGGTCTTGTTGAATGTGCTTTTGGTTTTAGCTGATGTGGCTGCAAGAGTCCCAGGTTGCGTTCCCGGACGAGCCCCCAATCTGTTGCACCCATGTTGCGGTCTATTCTTTTGAGCTACTTCATGAACAGGGTGTGAAGTGACTTCCCTGAGACTTCTGCTAATGCTGAGGAGCGTTTGTTGTTGGTGGTGGCACAATTTAATCTGCTTTTGTCACCAGAGGTAGTCGCTGACTCACAGTTTCCTCGGAGGGCGAGCAGTTTCAATTTCAGTGCAGGTGTCCGCTTTTCAATTTTTTTTTCTGTTGTTTTGACAGCTTATGAAATAGTTTTCAAGTTTTGAAAAGAGCATCAAAAGAGCTCTTTTCTTGAATTCTTTCTGTTTTATGTACTGCAGTGGACACTGTGGCTCATTTCTATTACAAAGCAACAATGACAATGTTTCTCTGTGCCCTAAAGGGGCCATTTAAATTCTGTCCTTCCTTGTAATCACCGCGTTGGCAGGAAGGGATTTGATTTAAGAAATTGGACACACCCTGAACCTTTGTCCCTGACAGCTCTTCCCTGTGGGAGCAACATGTGCATTTACTGGAAGATCTCTGGCTCTTGTGCACATAAAGAAGCGGGATAGATTATTTAATTCAAGGCTGTGTTCATCCTTGTTTCCTCTTTTAAGACCGTAAATCCATTGGGAGAGTTTAAAAGTGAAATAGCGGAAAAGAAACAAAACACAGACAAAGGCTATTAAAACTCATAATCAAGATAAGCATATGGCGTGTACTTAATTTGATATAAATTATATTTGGAGAATAATAAACAGGGAAACTATTTCCAGTTGCGATTTTAATCTGCTGAAGATGATTTAGCTACAGTATTTACATTACATTTGCTGCTCTGGTGTTTTGTCCCACTTCGGATGTCATGAGTGTCACTGTTAACATGATGTCTACTTCAAAACTCCTCTCAGAGTTTTACTGTACTTTTTTCCACTTTAATTTTCTGCTTCCCTAATGTTTTACATATCCAGTGATTGTAAAAAGTGTGAAATTCCAGATTAACTGCATTATGTGTGTTTTGTATATAAGAACTGTATAAATACAATAAAAATGTTAAGGTATGCTTTTTGCCTTGTTCTTTACTTCATATTGTATTACTCAATATGCACTGTAACAAATATCCTGTTCTATTTTTTGATTAAAAAAAATAGGCAGCTGTGGTTGCCTAAAATTCAGCATAAAAATTCAGTGTAAATGTATTACAGGAAAGCATATTAGTGCATGTATATCTTACAACTTATAACTATTGGCTATATTTTATTAAGTGAGATTATTAATACCAATCATATTTTTTCAAGCCTTGTCCATAAAACATGGCCAACATTCATGTACTGTCTAGACAGTGAGTCACACACACAAATTATCTGATGCAAAAATAATGCAATAAACATTAACTAAATAACAAAAAATGTACATTACTGATATGAACATAATGTCTTTTAATTATATTTCATCATAAATTATATGGTAATTCATAGTTTGTATACATTATTTTAAAATAAAATTACTGCAATGTTAAAATTGACAACTTTTATGTGGTAAGTTAATTTACTTAAAAGGTTTGTTCTGTTGCATTTTACAGTATTTTTTCCCCGATATGAATGACATGTTTTACAGTATGTAGAAGCTAAAATCAGTCATAGGCAGGCAGATGAATTTCCTTCCAAATACCATAGTTTGATCATACAATCAACTGTTGACGTCAACAACATCCTGTTTAAAATATCTTATGTCCAATCATAAGAATAGTTGCATTTCATTTTTTTTTTTTTTTTTTTTTTTTTGCATTTTGCATTGCTTGTTCCTTTTTAGGTCACAACCCATTGTTTGAGAACCACTGTTATAGGCCAATAGCCTTTGTATGTTTGCAGATTATTTGGGGTCATTTCTTGTTGTTTCTGCATCTATTAGCTTCTTGGTTGTGTGTAAAATTTAAATCTGCCACTTTCCCATTTATAAAAAAACCTAACTGTCCCCACACTGTGCATTTCCTGAGGCAGATAACAGAGACAAATAAACAAAAGTTATGCAAGAGTTAAGTGCCAGAGGAAGTGTTACCCCAACTGGAGCCTGTGCTCAGTAAGTACAACTTGATGCTTAGATGCATCTTTCTCAAAACACCACCCGTCTTTGTAGCCAGCTATTTTAGGCTTTATTGTCATATAAGAGTTGCTAAGATCTTTTCCTTTCCTGTGAGGATCTAATGTTTGACTATGAACAAAGAGGCCCTATTATGGTAAGACGCATCTAAACAAATATTCCCCATGTAACCCTTGAAAAATCCCCTGCTCAAGGAAGAAGATAATGTCTATGCACACACAGTGCCTTTTCTGGCCCCATGGCTTATTTGCGTGAGGTAAAACTCATGACTTGTGTTATACTCACATTTCCTCCAGGCTGCCTTTCATTGCTCTTCAAAATTGAATGCTGATATTTAGTAATAGTAAATAAGGGCAGCAGTCATTGCCAGACTATTTAACAATGTTTCAGTCTGCCCTTTATTTTAATCTGCCTGCTAGGCATGTGTTGGGCTTCCAAATACACATCCAAAAGTGATTTTCCCAGAATAAAGGAGTGAGAGAAAATGTCAGCACTGACATTAGCTGAAAAAGATGTGCCTACGGAGATTTTACCGTTGGTAATCTAATCGTCGCAAACTGCAAAAACGTTGCTGGAAGGACACGATTCAGTGTGCAGATGGCCAGAGTCTGTACAGACAGAACAAATCATCTGACTCTTGTATGACTGGGAAATCTATCACCAACCCTGTATGAACTTCAAACACCTTGTAACAAGAGCGCCCCCTATTGGTTATGTGTACAGAAGTGTCTTTTTTTTAAACGACCCCCACTTTGTAGCCTACAATAAATCTCTTTAGTTTAGTACGTACATGATATTCAATATTTCAAGGGAATTTAAAAATACAATGATGCTTATGTTTTATTCATTTTTGTTTCTATAAAAAATTTATATTATGCCCAATATCAAATTCATTGTTTTTGCTCCTCGGAAAAGAACAGTTGGCCTTTCATTTGATAATTTTAATTTATTTATAAAGAAATTCATACTTATATTCAGCAAGGATGTGTTGAATAAATCATACAAGTAAATGAAAGTAAAGACATTTATAGAAAAAGAAAATAATTCTATTAAAAATAAATAGACCTACTGTTCTGTTCTTTCAAGCTTCAATTTAAATTTCAAAAACATTTAAAAAAACAATATGTGTGTGTGTCCATATATATATATATATATATATATATATATATATATATATATATATATATATGGAACAACAGCAGCTAATTTCACACAGATGTGAATACAATATACAATTCATTAGATGTTGAATTGTGGTTTAGGTCCACAGTTAATTTACTGGATGAAAAAAGCATATCTTCCTTTATACTTCACTGTGCTTATTCAATACATAACAATCCCCTATTGTGTTTAATAGTTTCCGTGTGTTTGACTGCCACGGGTCATTTTCAATCAGTGTAATCAGCTGGAAAACATCCAAATAAAATAGCTTCTTAAGGTTTTGGTAATGAACAAAATCATGTAGAAAGAAATTGTGTATTGCCGTCATGCCCTGAGGATGTAGCTACTTCAAAAATTACTCTCTAATGTTTCCAGCCGCCTCAAAGATTAAAGGGTCTCATTTGTAGATCATTACTAGGCTTTACCCAGTTAATTTTAATGTAAGCATTTGAAAACTCTCTGTCTGTCTATCTAATAATTTATCCCTGTGGTTAAAATGTGTATATTTTACTTTAAAATGTGACATGCGTCAAGCTAACCTTTTGTGCAGGCTTAGAATATGCAGTATAGAGGTAATTCATACCTACTGTCTGTTCAAATGTGCTAAATGTTTGGTTTTTACTATTAAATGTGGAATGCTTGCACCCTCATGACAAAAGTGGTCTTTCCCTTTGCTTATCTCTCTGAACATCCTATTACTATGGATTGCAAAATACCAGTTTGACATACAGTAGTTTGACTACAGGGAGGTGCTGCTTGTCACATGAACAGGAAGTTCCAAGAGATAAGCACAGGGAAAGACCACGTTTGTCATAAAAGGGGTCAAACATTCCACATTTCATAGTAAAACGACACATTTAGCACATTTGAACAGAAGGTATGAATTATAAGGACATATACTGCTGTTGTAAATTATAAATGTTATATTCCTCCTAAATTTGTGTTGTACATGAAAACAGTCACCAAGAGGCTTCACCCGCTCCCCGCCCACATGGTACGGTCCTTCTCTCGCTCGCAGTGGTTGGCGCCGGTTGCTTTGCACATGGCCGAGTGAGAAAAATCTCTGGATTACTGCAGTAAAATTTAACACCGACTTCTCACCAGCCCGGACTGACAGGAATCGATCTCTAAATGCGAGATACGGAGAATATGGAGGGCGAAATGGATTATGACGACGGAGAAGAGCCTTCGTTCAGCGATCCGGAGGATTTCGTGGATGACATCAGTGATCAGGGTAAGAGAGAGGCCTACACTATATAGCCCGCCTGCTAACAGGCTACGAGTCGCACACTAAACCCTAAAACTGAAACGGTCTGCCTGTTACTAACCCGAACACCCTTCAGATTAACTATTTAGTAACATTTGATGCTGCACCACTACTCTGTTTAAGAATACACGCGTTTAATTCCTGTTAAAGCGCTCTTATTAACGTTGAGCATGTGCGCGAGCAGGACAAAAGCATCGTAGCAGCTTTAGGGAAATAAACGCGCGTGTCACAGCATTGACTCCGCAGCTGTTTTGAGATTGATTTCAGAAAGTTAATTGTAGTGCTGTAACATCTGTTTACCCATATAGCATGTTTAAGATGTTGACTGAGTCTGTATTGGATGGTTTATCTGTATGCAGAGCTGCTGGAGGATGTTCTGAGGGATAAACCTCTGGAGGCTGACGGCATCGACTCGGTTATTGTGGTTGATAATGTCCCTCAGGTCGGACCAGAACGCCTGGAGAAACTCAGGAACGTCATCCACAAGATCTTCTCAAAGTTCGGCAAAATCACCAATGAATTCTATCCCGAAGCAGACGGAAAGACTAAGGGGTAACTTTTGGTTGTCATTTGACGAATACTTTACGTCTATTTCTGCTTGGTCTATTGTTTTACATTGATATGTTGATATAAAATGAATGCATAGATACTGTACTTTTATAACCTATTCCTATATGCGTTTATCTTCACAGGTACATTTTCCTGGAGTATTCTGCACCGAGTCACGCTCTTGAAGCTGTCAAGAACGCTGATGGCTACAAGCTGGACAAGCAGCACACCTTCCGTGTCAATCTGTTCACAGACTTTGACAAGTATGTTGTCCTTAATTGTGCTGTTATTGTGACAGCATTTGATGCAATCTTAAATAGTGTTTGACCGATACGTATTTTTTGATGGCTGAATCCAATATTTTAGAGGTGGCCGATATAGATGATGTCACACTATTTAAAGGGTTAGTTCACCCAAAAATGAAAATTAAGTCATTAATTACTCACCCCCATGCTGTACCAACCCCGTAAGACCTTCGTTCGTCTTCGGAACACAAATGAAGATATTTTTGATTAAATTTGAGAGCTGTATAACTACCACATTGGCTCCTAAGGGACTGCCTCTTGACGGCCCAAAAAGTCAATGAAGAAAATGTTTAAATATCCCAAGTGACTACCGTGGCTCAACTATATGTTTATCAAGCGACGCGAATACTTTTTGTGCGAAAAAACAAACAAAAATAACGAGTTTATTCGACTATTTCTTTTCTTCCTTGTAGGCCAGAACGAGACTTCCTTATAGATTTCCCCGACGCATGCGCGAGAATTGCGATCTGAAGTAGTGTAAGCTGGCGTAAGCAGATCGCAAATCTCGCGCATGCGTCGTGGAAATCTAAGGAATTCTCGTTCTGGCCTACAAGGAAGAAAAGAAATAGTCGAATAAACTCGTTATTTTTGTTTGTTTTTTCGCACAAAAAGTATTCGCGTCGCTTGATAAACATATAGTTGAGCCACGGTAGTCACTTGGGATATTTAAACATTTTCTT